CTAGTGGGTCTAATACTCAACAAGAATATGAACTAAGATGGCATTTTGGAGGCCCCTTTTGGGGTGTTTTGAGGGGTGTACGGCCATGCAAGGGTGTACGGCCGTACACTCCTTTTGTTCCATCTAAATGTCGTTTCTAAGGTGTTTAACAAGAGATCCTAACGTGTACTAAGCATAGGGGAAGGATACTTACGATTTGGAGGCTTGAAGGAGGGTTCACGGTCACCAAGAACAAGTGTGTGTTCTTGGTGTTCTTGGTGAAAGACGAAGATCTTGAAGATCTACCCAAAAAGATGATTTCCATGGATGAAATCAAAAGGGTGCTACTAGGTTAAGAAGGATAACAACTAATCAAAAGGAAGAAAGGCTTACATTCTTGAAGATCGGGGTGAAAAGCTTGATGATAGTTGAGAGAAAACTCGATTTCTTGACTTGGAAACTGAAGAAATGACTACAAATGAAGGGATACCCTTCATATGGGGGAGAGTGTACGGCCAAGATGGGTGTACGGCCGTACACCCATGTGTACGGCCGTACACTCCCTTGGATGGAGTGTTCGGCTCGATTTCAACGCGAAGAACTTTAGCAACTCAATCCTATACTCAATGCTTGAATGTACTGAGCTTTGAACCCTTAAACAGACTCTAAAAAATTCTAAAAGATAGCAGAAACGGGTCTGACACTCGGTTGAATTGACTGGCTGGACTTACAAGGCAAAAATTTTCGGGTTGTCACATTTATCATGTTTTTCTGAGAACAAATTCCGCAATATATTTCTTTAAAAATATACTATGATTTTCAAATAAAGCATAAACAAATCGGTATTTTCTGGCCGTGAAATTGGGGATGTCAAAGTTGGTATCAGAGCATTAGTTTAAGCGAACTAGGAATTTGTAGGATTTCTAGACTTAAACTTAGAATACTAAGCGATGATTGTGAGATGAGTGTCTATTATATTTTAGGTAGTACACCTGAATTGACACAAGCACTAGCTTACTTTAGGATTAGATGCCTAAATTGCTTTTATGTGATAAATGATTTATGTTATAGCCATATGTGCTTTATGATGCTATTATTAATCGGATCCATGGTCTATGGCCGATCGGATCTGAAACTTTTATGTGTTCAGATTTTTGAACGTTTAACTACGATATAAGAACTGGCATGTAACTTTTCGGAGTGATATGAAGATTTATACGTCTGATTCCCCTATCTAAATTCACGTCACTACACACCGACCGTCTGATTTGGTGTATAGATCGACATGGCAAGAACCCGAAGCAGAATCGGAAACACCAATGGCAATCAGCAGCCTCAACCCCAAGTGATTGAGCGTGCACCAGAAGTAGCAGTTGCACCTGAACCAATCACTATGGCATGAGTCCAAGCCATGATTCGTGCAATGATGTCCGAACAAAGGGAAGAGATGAGGCAGATGTTGCAAAACAATAGGGATGAACCTACGATTCGTGTTAAACAGTCTTAACTGAATGAAGGTCAGTCGAAAGAAGGGAATTACAATAGGACCGTTACTCAAGCTGAACCGCCAGTGGTTAGGAGGAATAACTAAGATCGGGGGATCGAGAGGAAAGGATGCAAGTATAAGGACTTCACAACTTGCAAGCCATCGACTTTCACCGGTAAGGAGGATCCAATCGGAGTTATGGACTGGATCTTAGAGATGGAGTTAGCCTTCATAACACGTGGTTGCAAGGGCAAGCTACAAACCACTCATGCAGTATATCAGTTTAGAGGTGGCGTTGTTCATTGGTGGAACACTCTAGGGAGACCATAAGCCCCAATGAGCCACTACAACTTACTTGTGAAGAGTTCTTGGTACACTTTAAACGCAAGTTCTCCTCGGCCCAAAACCTGCTAGAGCTAGAGAACAAATTCTTGATGTTGAAAAAGGGCAGCATGTACATTGATGAATATACCAATGCTTTCACGGACATGATGGAGTTTGCTTTGCGCATCTACCCTGATGAACTAATGAAAGTCGATAAGTATACAAAGGGACTACGATGGGAATATGTTGTGCCAGTATACCAAACACCTACGCTTGAGGCGGCTATCTGGGCTGTTAAGTCTGTTGAAGAGATGATCAAGAGTAGAGCCGCCAACAAGGTCGAAGTTGGTAAGAGGAGAAAGTTTGAAGGATCTTCAAGGTCCAATGAGATGAGAAAATTCTCAAAGTTTGGTTCGAAGAAGTTCGAAGGAGGAGGAGGTGAAGCAAGATGGTGCGAGAAGTGTAAAAAGAAACACTTCGAGAAATGTGATGGAGAAGTCACTTGTTTTAAGTGTGGAAAGACTGGTCACTATGCCGGTGAATGCACGGCTAAGAAAGAAGTCTGCTTTAAGTGTGGTGAAGAGGGGCACTTCAAGCAAGACTGCCCAAAGAGGAAAGGAGCTACGACACACACGCCAACTAAAGAAACGCAATTGGGTTGATGAATTACAAAGCATACTATGGGATTATCGAACAACGACACACACGCCAACTAAAGAAACGCAATTTAGCATGCTATGTAGGACAGAATCAGTTATCCCCATAGAAGTAACAGTACGCAGCACCCGGAATAGGAACCCTCAGGAAGGCACGGACAACATAGACCTGCGAGCAAACCTAGATCTTGTAGAAGAAAGATGAAGTGATGCACTTATATGACAAGTAGCTTACTAGGAAATGAAGGAAATACATTATAATGCAAGAGTCAAATGTATAGCATGCAAGGTGGGAGATTTGGTTCTTCACATAAACGAAGCAAGTTGGCAAGAACATATCGGAAAGCTAAGTCCAAACTAGGAATGACCATATCAAGTGATAGAAGCCAGAGGAAATGGTTCATACGTCATGGAGAACATGAAGGGAGTTCGATTCCTAAGAACATGGAATATGCGAAACCCTCGCAAATTCCATGTCAAGGGTGGTAGTAGTCATGAGTCAACCTAGATTTGATCAAGAAATGTATTAATAGCATTAGGCATAAATCACATTTCGTACATCGTTTGATTATGACATTAAATGCAATCTTTAGCTTTTGATCGATAAAAATTCGACCCTGTTTTCATTAAGCATGAACCATAAGTCTTTGTAGCTTATGGTTCGCTCACCATGATCCATTGAATCATAGTTCGACCCTATTTTCATTAAATATACACCATAAGTCTTTGTAACTTATGGTTCGGTCACCATGATCCACCAAATCATGGGTTGACCATATTTTCATTAAGTACGCACCATAAATCTTTGTAACTTATGGTTCGGTCACCATGATCCACCATATCATGGTTTGACCTTATTTTTATTAAGTATGAACCATAAGTCTTTATAGCTTATGGTTCGGTTACCATGATCCACTAAATCATGCTTCGACCTTATTTTCATTAAGTATGCACTATAAGTCTTTGTAACTTATCAGTTCGGTCACCAAGATCCACCAAATCATGTTTTGACCTTATTTTTAATAAGCATGAATCATAAGTCTTTTTAACTTATGGTTCAGCCACCATGATCCACCAAATCATGGTTTGACCTTATTTTCATTAATTATGAACCATAAGTTTGTATAACTTAGGGTCTGGTCACCATGATCCAACAAATCATGGTTTGGCCTTATTTTCATTAAGTATGAACCATAAGTTTTTGTAACTTATGGTTCGATCACCATGATCCACCGAATCATGGTTCAACCTTATTTTCATTAAGCATGAACCATAAGTCTGTGTCACTTAAGGTTTCGTCACCATGATCTACAAAATCATGGTTCGACCTTATTTTCATTAAGCATGAACCATAAGTTATTGTAACTTATGGTTCGGTCACTATGATCCACCAAATCATGGTTTGACCTTATTTTCAGTAAAAATGAACCATAAGTCTTTGTAACTTATGGTTTGGTCACTATGATCCACCAAATCATGGTTCGACCTTATTTTCATTAAGCATGAACCGTAAGTCTATGTAACTTAAGGTTCGGTTACCATGATCCGTCAGATCATGGTTCGACCTTATTTTCATTAAGCATGAGCCATAAGTCTTTGTAACTTATGCTTCGATCACCGTGATCCACCAAATCATGGTTCGACCTTATATTCATTAAGCATGAACCATAAGTTTGGTTAGCTTATGGTTCAGTCACCATGATCCATTGAATCATGGTTCAACCCTATTTTCATTAAGTATACACCATAAGTCTTTGTAACTTATTGTTCGGTCACCATGATCCACCAAGTCATGGTCCGACCCTATTTTCATTAAGTATGAACCATAAGTCTTTGTAGCTTATGGTTCGATCACCATGGTCCACCAAATCATGGTTCGAACCTATTTTCATTAAGTATGCACCATAAGTCTTTGTAACAATGTTTCGGTCACCATGATCCACCAAATCATGGTTTGACCTTTTTTTCATTAAGTATGAACCATAAGTATTTATAGCTAATGGTTCGGTCATAATGATCCACCGAATCATGGTTCGACCCTATTTCCATTAAGTATAACTCTAAGTAATTGTTTTTCTAAATCATGGTTCGATTATATCGTTGTTAGTAAACATAAACTATAAGTTAAATTAAACTAACACCGAATACAAATTAGAAAGAAATTTCAGAATATGCACCAAGATTATAAATATATCAAGATTGCAAGTTAGCATATTTAATAAAATATTATCCGATAAACACTTCGGTTCAACCATACAAACAAGAAGTCTCCAAACTAGGAGCCAACAAATACAAATCAAACACTGCTACTTGCACCATCACACTTGGAAAGGGGGTCCAAGGATGCTAATTTCTCCTTTAGCACATTGATTTCCTCCTTAACTCCCTCCAAGAGCTCAAAAAATGAATACTTATAAGAAACCATGTCGGAGAAGTGATCCAGGATACGACGTTGGGCGTCAGGATAGGAATAAATAACATTTTTCCCAGCCAATACATCGGGGTACTTTTCCTTCATCTCGACACAAGCTTGATGTAGCCCCAATTGGATTGCTTCAGTCTAAAGGCCAACATTAATGTTGTCAAAAATCGCATGAATTTAACAAGGAACGAACAAAAGAAGGGATACCTTCTTTCATAACCCATTGAAAGTATGAGACGCCTCGCTCCGATATCATCAGATATTGAAGCCAATCTTGCTTAGCAGAAGTTTGAAGTTCGCCTAGAAATGCAATTTGGGCATCCTTCTCAGACACACCAGTTTTAACTTTTGAAAACTCCTCCTCGAGCAATTTAATGCTTACATCCTTTCCTGAGACATGATCTCCAGCTGCGAAACCTTTCGGTATATTGAAGCTTCAAAGATTCAAATTGTTGTTTTTTCTCTACCAACTCTTGGCTCAACCCCAAGCGACGACCAATTGTGTCATTAGCTTTGATCTGAAGATCTTGGTTCAACTTCTTTAGCTCCTCCTAACAGCAAAGGTTCTCACATAGGTCTTCACCTAACCATATTATCCTCTCTAATAAACCATGCACCTCTTCACGAAGATCCTTTGCCTCCACATCCATATTCTCATGAAGAACACGTATCCCCTTCAGTGCTTGAAAATCTTCCTAAACCAGTTGTTTCCCAAAAAGTATGATGGCTTGCTGACGAGTACGACAAGAAACCTCGTTTAGTAGGTGGATCCCTTCCATCAAACAGGAACAAGCCCTGTCAAGACTCTCTTCATTAGAAGCATCCGCAAGTTCAAGACCTTTAGGAATAGAGGTCATGGCAAAAGGGCATTGAAATTCGGGCAATGAAGAGGCAAAAGTAACAAGCCTAGGCAGTGGAGCCTCCTTACCGAAAGAAGGAATAACTGGAATGAGAACAGAAGAACCAACCAAATGTCAAGAAGAATATACACCAAAAATGGAAAAAAGAGTAAAGCATAATATCAAAAACATACAAGTTCGTTTTGGATTCTTCTACAATACATCAATAGATGGTTCAACCTGAGCGTCATCACCAAAAAAGGTGTCAACGTCAAGAATATCAAAAGGAGGAACACTTGAACTAGCTGAAACACTTGAATCCAGAAGTAGAGGTCTGGTATTCACAACCGTATAATCAGTCTTCGATGCTTCAAAGAGCCCAAATCTAGCCCCAAAAAGTTTCTATTGAAAGACAGCAGCCACAGATAAAGTGGTTGGAGTTTGACTTTTTTACGGTGGTTCGAGAGATTCAATAACAGGAGTCTCTCCCAAGGTAGAAGAAAGAGAAATATCATGGATCAGAATTTCAGTATCGAAAGAAACCAATGTTTCTTCAGTATTCTTCAGTTTAGGATCAATACTTACCAGACACTCATGGAGAGTAGTTGTTGTAGATGGTTCCAAAGAAGGTTCTGGATTCATGGATTTAGACGAAGGCTGACTGATAGAAGATGACTACTATGACTTTTTGCACCGCATCGAGTAGTACTTAGCCGTTTAGGAGAAGAGAGGTCAACCAGTTTGTCAGGACGGATCATAACCCCTTCCAAAGAAAGAATTTTCTCTGCTACATTTTTTCTTTTGCGGGAAGATCCCTTTAACACGAATTGGGCTGCATAATATAGGGTTTTCCGTTGTCAAACTCCGCTTTCACAGTCCACTTAATAGGAGAAGGAACCACAGTCACAGTGCTATTCATACCAGAGGGATTAACAGCAGAATCCAAGCTATATTATGATTAAGAGGGGGAATTAGGGATGGTCGCGTCCTTTGTGACCAATAAAGAACTTACCAAACGTTGCTTGTGTAACTGGTCTAATAGAGTAACCTCATGGCCGACTATGGTTTCCATAGGCTTTTCCCCAATTTGTTATAATAAGCTCTAATTCCCACCATACCTAACATTATTTCCCCGGGATCAACCCATATGACAAAATTAGTTGATAAACAGCTCACGATACTCTATTCTTCGTAAGATAAATCGGGAGAGGAATCATCAGCTCTATCAACAGTATCACCATAAAACATCCATCCAGGGAAAGCAGAAGCACGAATAATGAAAAATTCTTCTTTGTAATACTTTATGAAGGTGGGAAAGGCCATCGCATATCTCTACCAAACCATGGAAAATGGAGAAGGACACCTAATCACCATTAGACATAGTCGCATAGAAGTGACGGAATAGGGTAATAGAAGGCGCCACATTTAGAGCAGATCATAACATCACAAAACAAATGTTTTTTTGAAACCCGTTGGGGATAACTTGAGCAATATGAAGATGATAATAATCCAATACCATCATCAAGAAATCAAATGCCGTAAACTACAAACCTGACTTAAATAAAACACGGTAAATACCAAAAAAAACCTTTTAGAGCATCGACAATGGCACTCCCATCTTCATGAAACAGTGGGTTGAATTCGGGGTCAATGTGGTATTTCTTCATGATAGAAGAAAGGATTTTAGGGGTAAGTTTGGATTTCATGGTACGAATGCTCGAAATGTCTTTTTCTAGCCATAGGAAGATAAAATGAAAGAGAAAGAGTGAAAAGCAATAGCAAGAAGAAAATTACAGGTAGTGAAGAAACGTAACCAACCAAGGGGGTATTTATAGGGAATTAAGAAAAACCATACTTGTGGAGCAGAAATAGTGGCAGTTACACACTATAGCCTCCTTAAATGGAAAAGAGTTGAAGAGAGAGTTATAGGCAATGATGAACACTAGAAACCGCCAAAACGTCACATCAAAGTTTAATCCTGGTATCTATCCCTATCCAATTATAATAGTTACTTTACAATAGTTTTTAAGTTTGAATCGATACTCTTGACACAAGAGTAACGATCCAAATTGGAGGGACTTACTAGGGTATAGCCTAGCTTGAAACTACGAATATACCCTCACTATACCTAAATAGGTATATACCGGACCAGGTATGTACTGAACCAAGTATATAGCGAACTATGTGCAAGTATCAAACCATATAAAATAACGACTAAGATACAAATTAACGTCACAACAGTATTATAGTACATTAGGACTCTAAGAAAACAGCTTATATTGTAATATGTGACTGATAGATCCTTTGATCAATGAGAAACAACTGCTAAACGGATAACAAGTACATATAAGGTTACCTTCGGGCATACGGCCATTAATGCGACAAGATGGAAAACCTGATCAGTAAAGAATAGGTCATAGCCTCCTAAATATCGTCTATAAATAAGCGACGAAAATCACTTTACAAGGTATGTAAACAAACACATTATTCTATTAAACTTTACTCGACTATCATCATACTCTTAGAGTCTTTTTTAATGTTATCATCAGAGTGTTGGTCTGGGATCCCCTCCCGGTCAATCAGCTTATGAGTTGTTTGTTGTCTCCAGGTTAACTTAACAGTGAAGAAGTTGATAATTCTCACAGACAATGGAAGGTGAAACAGGAGGTGCATCAGTTATATATATATATATATATATATATATATATATATATATATATATATATATATAATATAATATATATATATATATATATATAAGTTTTAAACCAATTAAATTTAAGTGTTTATTAATTCAAATTAAACATGCAATAGAGCCTTGGACCAGAGAATCATAGGTATGTGCTTTGGGCCCTTGAGTTGGGCTTGCCTTTTGTTTGGGAATTGGGCCTTGTGTGGGCCAATTTATTATTGGGCCTTGGTGGGCCCAATGGATATAGGTCATTGATGGACTGGTTGGTGGTCTACCTTTAGACCCAACGAGTGAGAGTTTGGGTCGAGTTTCTAAGTAGGATAATTTTGGGTTTGGCACAGAGTTAGGGGCCGGGGCGTAGCAGCAGCGTTTATAGGGGCTGATCATCATCCAAGGTGAGTCTTCTCACTATACTTTACCTAGAGTGGTAATTAGAGTTATATGACAGAGTATCTTGTATGCTACTTATGTGATTGTGATACACTGCATTATTTCTATGTGATTTATGATGTGTATGTTCCATAGTTTACAGAGTTAGAACCGGAAGGTTCACAGAGTTAGGACCAGAGGGTCCACAGAGTTAGGACCAGAGGGTCCACAGAGTTATAGCCTCGAGTGGCTAATATGTGTTATATGTGGTATTTTGGGGAACTCACTAAGCTTCGTGCTTACCGTGTTATGTGTTATGTGTTTCAGGTATCTCAGAGGATCGCGGGAAGGCACCGGCTTGATTGTACACACCAGAGAAAGAGTTATGTTTTGAGGATCCTGGATTTTTAATGGAGCTGTGTTTTATAATTTGAATAAACGAGATTTCCATACAATATGTTATGAAAAGTATGCGATTTTAAAATGAAAAATCTGTTTGAAAACTTACGGTGTTACAAGTTGGTATCAGAGCCTTGGTTTGAGGGATTCGGATGCACCTTCGGGTAAATCTGGACTCAAACTGAGGATTTGAGAAAAAATTTCAAAGAAATGATTTTTCTAAAGCGAACAAGAGTTTCTAAGAGAAAATGAGAAGGAGCAGTGTGTACAATCAGCCAGAGCCCGAACGGTGATTTCCCAAAATACCCTTACATTTGTATTATGAGATATTTATGAGATATTCTATGAGATATTATGCATGCTAGAGATAGACTAGGTATTTCATATGTTAGGACTAGAGTGGCCTGATATGTGATGCCTTAGCCTAGGAGTTACTGTTATCTGTAATGTGCTTTTGAGTATGTGCTGAGTAAGAGTATCCAGCAGGAATCCTTTTTAGAGAGGGATTTGAGTAGAGGAGTAATCTAGGAGAGATACCTAGATGAGCATTTGTGGAGTCTACTGAGAGGGTAGTCAGATGCCCACGTGGGGGTGAAGTCGCTTGAGTTCGGTGGTATCCTACGTGTATGAGGAGAGCAAGTAGGATAATAGCCTAGAGTGGTTTTACATGTTGGTAGAGATTATTCGATGCTCGAATGCTGCTTGCTTCGTGCTTTGTGGAACTCTTGATGATGAGAGTCAGCTACTAAGTGAATATGACGATACTCAGGAGGTAGATGGCTGGCATCATAAAGAGTTCTTCAGCAGCTGATGGCAGAGAAGTGTGAGAACCTAGGAAGAGCCTAGGAAAGGGTGACCCTAGTTAGATGAGTACACTGACAGAGTAGGATATTTCGCAGAGGAGCGAACACGCATGACGGGGTTGGTGATTGAGAAGGTCGACCAGCTACTTAGGAACTCGGGGATGGTCCGTGTGGAAAGTATGGGTAGATGTGGCAAGTAGTATGGGCCCGTACTACTGAAAGCAGAGGACCCATACTCGATACAGGGAACAGTCCGGAGGTTTTACGTAGCAGATCGAGAGGTGATTTCATGGTTCGAGTACCATGATTTGTAGCAGATCGAGAGGTGATTTCATGGTTCGAGTACCATGATTTGTATCAGATCGAGAGGTGATGTCATGCTTCGAGTACCATGATTCGTAGCGGATTGAGAAGAGATAACATGGTTCGGGTACCATGATTCATAGCAGATCGAGAGGTGGCCACATGGTTCGAGTACCATGACCCGTGGCGGTTAGTGTTACACGTTCTACCAGTTATTCCGTTGTGATTATCTAGACTGAGATCAGATGTGAAAGAATATGGGGCCAGAGGGCCATGATGAACGAGCATCCCTTAAAAGGGAAATCGAGTTAGCTCAGAGGGATTGTTTGTGAGATGCCAGTTGGAGTCGCAAGACTCAGGGATGAGTAGAGATGGTACGTTACGGGAGAAAACGGTCTGGGCCGAGCAACCAGCCGATGGTGGAGATGTCATTTTCTGTGACCTGAGCGGTGCTATTTCTATTCCTATGGGAAACATGAGAGGTATTGAGATTTTCAGTTTCCAAGGTTGGGGGCGAGCCCTGTGGGGTAGCTTTGGTTACGATCTTTCATCAGAGTATTTGGGCAATATGTCTACCGATAGGTGATGTTAGAGCATGAGCAGGTTGTCAGCGGGGACGGATATGGTTAAGGGCAAAGATACACCCTATTTGAGCATAGTAGGGCATGTATTAGCTGCAGCGGCAGTCGATCGAGAAGAGGATATTGGGGCGGTGGCTCTTATTGTCTATGATGAGTATCGAGTGTGGTAATGAGGACTCCACTCTTACTACAACCCACGTGATGGTACGTTGGTTGAAGAGTCGAGGATGAGGAATATGTTATTTCGTTACTTTCAGACTGAGAGTCAGGGTTACGACTGGGCAGTTGAGATGTCTGGTAGTGGGATGGTACGAGATTCTGAATGACTAGAGGTAGTCTTGATGAGAAGTTTTTGAGGATTTCATCAGAGATTTGGGGTATTTGGGATTGCTTGACCTCCATCGGGAGCTCATCGGGCATTGTGCATCCCCTTCCAATAGTAGGTGCGGTATTATTGTTAAAAACAGTCTGTGGGTTAGATTGTTGGCGAACCAA